GAAGAGGAGGCTCTGGGAAGACCTTATAGCAGCTTCCAGTACTTAAAGGGGCCTACAAGATAGCTGAGGAGGGACTTTTTTCAAGGGCTTGTAGTGATAGGACAAGGGGCAACGGCTTTAAACTGGAAGAGGGAAGATTTAGATTAGCTATCAGGAAGAACTTCTTTACGGTGAGGGTGGTGAGGCACTGGCACAGGTTGCCCAGAGAAGCTGTGGATGCCCCATCCCTGGAAGTGTTCAAGGCCAGGATGGATGAGGCTTTAAGCAACCTGGTCTAGTGGAGGTGTCCCTGCCCATAGCAGGGGTGTTGGAACTAGATGGTCTTTAAGGTCGCTTCCAACCAAACCATTCTATGATTCTATGATCTCTCACTGCCACCATCTTTTAAATTATTATTTATGAATGGGAATAAAAAATTTGAGGAAAACATATTTTAAATACTTGATGGCTTCATTTAATCTATGTGGGTTTTGTTGCAAGAATTGAAAATTCCCTTGCAAAGTCCAAATCCTTCTGTATAAATGAGGCTAAGTTTTAAAGGCAGAGTGTACCTGGGTTAGGTAGGTAGAGACTTTGGACCTTGTTAAGCCTGCCTGCATCTGCACCCCATACAGTAAACATACAGCCACATTGCCACTAATTTTGAAATAGACCGTAACAAATGCTAGATTTTCCAGGATCATATCCCAAAATACTTCTCACCTGACTAAAGATGTGTTATGGTCTGTTTTGGAAGAATTGTCCTGTGTAGAAATTCTCTAAGCTGAATCCTACATTTATCTGAGGTCTCTTTTTGTATCTGTTTCACTGTGTCAACCCTAGGTAATGCCCGCTTCTCATTTTGGCTGCGTTGTTATCGTTTCAGAAGATAAACAGAGGTTTTGCTGAATGAATGGTATTTTAATGGTGGGTTTTGATCCTTGAAGGGCAAGAGGTGATCTTGGAAAGATGATTATACTAGCTAGATATTGTGAGAGCGATACTGGAGTCAGCTAATAAAATCCCAATTACTATGGACTCCCCATATGCAACATGATGCTTCTGGTGCCTGGCAGCAAGCAATGGAGAACACTGTCTTGCAAACTTGGGATGACTAGAAGATCCAGAGCTTCCTTATAAAGAAAGTCTCTTTCGTGGAACAATATGGAGAGCTTTCACTGCTTTTTCAGTTCTAGGACATGCAAATGAATGGAGATGAGTAAAGAAGCAGATTGCTACTTGTGAATGCCCCAGGTTCACATTTAGCTAATGTGATGATGGAAAATCAATTGTCAGCACAGAGGAGATGTACTAGGCAAATTCTGTTCCTATTCAGTAGATGGAAAGGTACTATTACTGTACTTGACATAGCAGTTGGTTTTAAGGAAGTTAGGATCTTTAATAGACCTGAAACTTGCTGCCTTAAGGAACTCATGAAGGAGTAGATCCTGTATATCAAACAACTTTCTTCTGTAGGGAGTAGTCTGCAGGCTCATCAGGCCAGGATGTCCTGGCCAAGTCAATTGTGCTGAGAAGACTCTGTATTTATCTACAGAGAAGAGAAGGAATTTTTTTTCATTTTCAAAAAATACAGTCACCCATAATAAATAATAAATAATAAAATAAATAATAAAATAATGCACCCATACCCACTCCTATATTAAGCTTTTATTGTGCTGGGCTAGGAGGCCTGCCCTGGATATCAGAACACACAGCAGAAGAAGGATCAGTTACACAGCAGCTGCAAGATGGTAGCAGGCTATGCATTTGGATGGCAAGGCAAAATAACAGTCTGGTAGTTTGGTTGGGTGCAGGGGTGGATCACTGCTCTCTGCGTAACATCTGTGAGGATTTGGAAACTGAAAAACCATCTGATTCAGAGGTTTGGAATATGCAACTAGAAGATGACCCTGTCCTTATAACGGTTTAGCCTAGCAATACAGGAAGGAGTAGAGAATGCATTGCATATCTGTGCTGTGGCCTCTAAGGAGGAGGAGGAGCAGGAGGAAATGTAATGCTGCACTTGGGATACATGAGTCTGTATCCTGCTGTACTGTACGCAGCAGATCATTTGTTATCACATTAATGTAGCTGTAAGACTTTTTACTTTGAACTCTTTGGATGTAAATTCCCCTCCCTTATTTTACCATATCCTTATGAACCAAGTAGTTGTAATCAAAAATAAAAAAGTATTAAAAATACCACATTTTACAAGACATTGCAGGCACCTTAGCAAAAGACAATTAAAGCAAAACTGAAAATTCTGCTTGTCTCATAAAGCATGTAACCTGGTCTTAGAAAAAGGCCTGCAGGCCTCTAAAAAAGTTAGGTAGTCATCACAACAGAAAATGAGCAAGTCACAACCTCTTATTACATTAAATACAGTTGATCACTTACATTTTTCACAAGTGTGCACATATTCAAAGCATGTACAAACTTGGGTTTAATTTGTATTAGGAATGCAGAGTGCTTGAGAACCCACATTAATTCTGCCCTGAAGAGCAACTTCTGAGGTCTTACAACTACTGCTCTGTGTTTTACACTTGCAAGATTTGCAAGCATAACTATGTTAGGCATATGGAAAATGTAACTCTCCTACACTGCATAGGTTATTCCTCAGTTAAACTCTTCTCTGCTTAGGTGACTGGCTCTCTAGGATAGCTATACGAGAGCGTTCATATTGCGAGCCATTGCCAGTACGAATGAAGGCTCTCTCTCATCCACCTTAATTCAAACAAGGCCCCTTTTTCTCTGGCCTCTGTTCAAACTAGAGATTTTGAGTGCTGAACCAAAGAGAAGGTTTGTACCATTAAAGCCCCTAGCTCTGCTACTTTGTCTTAAGGTATCATTAACAGAAGATATTAAGCATGCATTAAATGGAACCTTCTCCTTTGTCCGTGACATGCCATAACAGTTCTTTTACACACTACTGCCGATGCCCTGACCTGTAGCTGGGTCTCCAAGATACAGTTGAAACAGGTATTAAAGAGCATTTTTCCACATCTCTGCAAATGCTTTAAATGGGCAGAATTTACATAATAGAAAAATAGGTTTCACACCCAGTTTTGAATACTCTTTACAGGGTCTAAAATGCACTTGGTTAAGCTCTTAAAATAACATGGGAGCATTGATTATATGTCTGAGTACCAAAGCACAGACAGAAGCTTAAGAAAAACATCAATGCATCTGTTTCACTGCCATGTGAGAGATCTAAGACTGAAAGTAAAAATTGATTCATGCAAACAGACCGCTCTGCCTGAGCAGGGGTCCAGTAAAATGACAAGAGCTCCTCAGAAGTGTAGGTATCTGTCTGTGCAGATGCATTTTTGAGACATTCTGATAGCTACTATTAACTCAATAACATTTACCACAGTCTTTCTTACACCTCACCTTGATGCTTCATAAATCTAACAGATGGAGAACTTGAGGCCCAAGGAGACCACGGGCCAGATTTTCAAATGTACCAAGGCATATAAAATTCAATTTGCATTACAGCTTAGGAGCTCTGTCTTTGGGCATCTGGGTGCCTTTGAAGCATCTAACATTTAAGTATTTTAGTCCAAGTTCAGACAATACAAAACAGCATCATGAAGCTAAGTTTCTCAAATCTTAAGCTAGGATCCAGAGTACCGTGTCTTGGTACTTTTGATTACTTCACATTTCCTATGTTATTGTGTATTTTCTTTCTGACTTACTGGTCTGATTTTCTATAATTGGCTCCTTGTAGTACAACAGAAAGAATACAGCTTTTCTAATTATTTTTTTTATTAACAAAACCATAATTGAACAATCAGGTAAGTTTTCACAGTTCCTGTCTTCATCCAGTGTCTACTACAGCCAACGTGAAGACATTTGCAGACTTTAACAGGCAATTGTTCAAGCTCTTACTGATATTAATGAGCAGTGGCTCCAGTGCTCCACCTCCAGATTCAGTGGGAATGCTATTTTAATTACAGTTCTTTGCCATGCCAAATATCAGGCTGTCAATGGTTAGATGTCACTTCTCTTTGATGTGGATTTATAACATTTTTATTAAAGACTTGCAGACCTGATGGAAGAACATCAAGAAGAGTTAGCAACAATAGAGTCTATTGACTCAGGAGCTGTCTACACTTTAGCTTTGAAGACCCATGTTGGAATGTCTGTGCAAACATTCAGATACTTCGCTGGATGGTGTGACAAAATTCAGGCAAGTGAATATGTAAAGGAAATAATCAATGGCAGTGCTTCTCTACACAAGTTGTTTTTTTTTTTTTTTTTTTTTTTCTCAGACAGTGCCAAAAAGCAGTGTTTGCAAAAGTAATCAAGGAATCAAAATATAAAGCAAAATTAGAATTTTACCTAAAATGGGTCTCCCTGGCAATACAAAAGGACAGTCTGCTTCCAACTGGAGAATATGGATTTAGAATGTGACTCTAAATATCTAAGGAATCAGTTGAGGTGTCACAGTGGATATGCATGCTTAGTCAGCTCTTGATTATTCATGGAGCAGAATGTCATTGTGGTTGTCATGTGGGTAAGTGCAGACACTCATGTGCTATTCTGACCAAGGCTGGTGAGTTTATGTGATGGCACAGCACGTGGCAAAGGTTCAACAGCATTTCCTCAAGTATCTTTAAGATCTACAATCAAGACTTGTCATTCAGCTTTTTTTCGTCCATCACTTTATGTTCTTCCATACTTTTGTTATCTATGCTTTTATTTCATCTAACTGAAAATCAGAAGTTGACTACAGTATCCATATTAGGAAATTACACAGTTGAAGCATCCCTGCCCCTTTCTCTGATGCAAAAATGCTTCTGGTTTTGAAGCCTAGTCTGTGACTCTCCAAAACATGCTTATATGGCAAATATATTTGTAATAAAAATGGTTAAACAGTACCAAGATTTGTTCCTCCTGTGTCTTGTAGGGTGCTACAATTCCAATTAACCAGGCCCGGCCAAACCATAATCTAACATTCACCAAGAAAGAGCCAATAGGGTAAGTATCACTTTTTTCTTTTGAGTGACAGCCTTGACATACAGAAAAGCCATTCAAAAGCTGCCATCAAAAATTTAATCTTTCCCTGTTTTTCCCTACCTTAAGTGTCTGTGCAATTGTTATCCCCTGGAATTACCCACTGATGATGCTTGCATGGAAGAGCGCAGCATGCTTGGCTGCAGGCAACACACTCGTACTCAAGCCAGCTCAGGTAAAAACAAAAAGGAATGTACAGATGGCTCAGGTCCTCCACTATTTGTTCAGGGAAAATAATTCAAGCAATCTAGTGGTTTTCACCCATAGGTTGACCTGTCATATGTACCCATAGGTTGACCATGTCCTATGTTTTAAAGTGCATGTATAATAATGCAAATTGCCATGATGATACAAGGTAAGGATTTTCTTCAATTCTGCTCTGATGCTACTCTCGTTTTCAAGAATAAATTCTTTTCCACAAGAAGCCATCACTTTTAATTTGCCAATACTGTGAGTAAGATGAATATTGTATCAAAATTAAGATGTATTGAATGTAAAAGATATCATCACTCATTTAAATTAAAATGGGAGACCTAATCTAAATGTTTCTATTTAGGTCACACCTTTGACTTCCTTGAAGTTTGCAGAACTCTCAGCTAAAGCTGGATTTCCTAAGGGCGTTATAAATATTCTGCCCGGTTCAGGTAAAACTTCAGCTAATCATTTTTTCTGGGAAAAGTAGGTCATGGTGAACTAGGATTTTACCTTTTTGAAGACCTATTACGTAAGTGTGTGTATCTTCATAGGTAGTAGGCTTGCATCTATGTCATACAGTGATTTCATATATTTCCAGAACAGAACTGGAAAAATCTGTATGTCACCTGGCTCTAGCTAGTGGTAAGAGCTGTCAGCCTGTATCCTTTACAAGTTCACACAAATAGCATGAACACTCTGAAAAAGAATGTATTACACAGAAACATGTTTCACTTGATTGTAAAACTTCATTTTTTTCTCCTAATCTTACCATCACTTGAAAGTATTTAAATGTGACTGTGAGACCTAGAACAAGCTGGTAAGATGCGTATTGGTCACTGCAGGTAAATCATGGTCCATACTGTGTTATCTGATGTCACTATTTTCCTCTTTCCCCTAAGGAAGAAAAGTGACAAAGTAACTGTATGGTGCCGGCTCTGTTACAAATTAGATTATTCCAACTACAGTGGAATATTAGGAAGGAAGTTCTTTAGTCCAGACAGATGGGGGAATCTGGAGACACCAATGTGATCCAAGTTAACTAATATGAGATATTTCACATTCATATGAATAAAGCTGTAAATATAAATAAGGCTGTGACATTGCTCTTGACAGACATATTGTTAGCTCTTTCTGTGTTATAGTGCTGCTGCTGGAATAGTAAAAATTGTCTGTGTACTGTCCAGTCCAGTTAAACTGTTTTCCTCACCCCAATAGGTGGCTTAGTGGGACAGCACCTGTCTGAACATCCAGATGTTCGAAAAGTTGGATTCACTGGTTCAACACCAACTGGTAAACAGATCATGAAGAGGTACTCTCAGCAAAAGATTCATGACTAAACACTGTTTAATCTAGTTCTGAATTGTCTTATTAGCTATATTGTGCATAAGCAGTAACAGAAAAGCATAACTACATATGGTTGTTTGCTTTTATATAGAATTCTGTTGAGTCACTATTGGAAAACAGAGGTTTATACATCTTCACTAGATATGATTCAAAGGAAATAATGAAATAAGCTATTTAAAAGTTGTTTTTATGTGATTATTTATATTTTTTACAGTGCAGCCACAAATCTGAAGAAAGTTTCTCTTGAACTTGGTGGTAAATCACCATTGATCATATTCAGTGACTGTGAACTTGACAGAGCCGTAAAAATGGTAATGCTACTTTGAAGTAAAATATATTCAAAGCCTTTGTGATACATCCTCACAGTAATTCAATATACTTCTTGACTTGCTAAAAACTGCAGTAGGGAGCCCTTGCATGAAAAATTGTGCAATTTGTTAGAAAACAGACTCTTTTTCTACAGGATGTGTCTTTGTGCCAGCACAATGAAACTGTTCATGCTGCACCAAAAAGGCAAGGATCAGTACTACAAGAAATATACGTTAGAAAATACAACAAAACAAAGAAATAGAGCTGGAAAGTATTTTTGCTAGCCAAGTTAACACATTAAAATTGATTTGTCAAAATCTGATACTCAAAAAAAGAAGTGCTTAAAAAATAAAAGCCTGAAAATGAGTTAAAATATACATTGAGCTCCCTATTGCCTTATAGTTCTTCTTAATTCGCCATCAGCCATCATAATCCACCTTCCCAACCAGCCATAATGTGTTTAAAGTTCATAAATAAGATGTGAAAATGAGAAATTCAGTGGATTTAGGGAGCTTATTTCCTGCTCAGGTAATCTGATTAATCAAAATGACAGCAGATGCAGTTTGCTCACTAAGAAGCAAATGAAGGTCTTCTACAGTATACTTACCCAAAGTGCTAATTCTGTGAATTCTCTAAACCAGCATAAGCAGGTACTGCTATCAGGAGGAAACTATTATATACTTTCCCTAATTTTGGAGTGTCTTTTGGCAGTAGAAGAGCCTGAGTGACTGCACTGTGAAGTATACATGAAAAATAATAAAAGCTGAAACTTCACAGTCAGCACACTGTTTTGCCCCACCACTGTTCTCAGCTGTAGAAGTGAGATGGTGATGCAGAGGTTGGCCTGAGCTATACCTGGCATTGATGGCTTTAAATGATTGTGAAACAATTCTTTTTGCCACACATTTGACACTGGCATACGATCCCAGTCATACCTACTAATGCCAGGACCATAGGCCTTTGCAGCTGCCAGAAAACTACTTTTTAGGAATTGTATTTGTCCTGTTCTTCATTCCCCCATCTCCCTACCCCCCTGGAAAAACAATAGCAGGTTCTTGGGAAATAAAAAGGAATAAACTGCATGAGGTCTGGATCCACACTCATGAAATAGGAGGCTCTCTGCAGATTAGCATTAGGTACTGTTCACCCAGCTACACGTGACTTTTGACACAAGCAGTATTGCTCAGTGGATTAGCACAGTTTTATATTCACTGGTGGAGCTGCCAGCCCTCTTTGTGATGCTGCAGCAGGTGTTTCTGTGGAACAGTGATGGAAATGGAAAGAGCAGTGCTAATGGGTTCATCCTGAGCCATTTGTCTCCATGGAAGTGTGTTTGCCAGTTATAAGATTAGTCTACTTGTTGCATTAATGATGTTCCTTTACATAAAGGATTACGCTGAGGGTCGCAAACACAGAATGCAACCCAAGGGAAAAGAATGAAAGGGAGACTGAACAAAAGAATGCATATAAATATCAATGTTTTTTCCCCTGATCAGGGTATGGGAGCAGTATATTTCAACAAAGGAGAAAACTGCATTGCAGCTGGCAGGCTGTTTGTGGAAGAATCGATCCACGATGAATTTGTTAGAAAAGTGGTAAGATATTCAAGGACTAAAGTTTAAGCAGATACTTTACTATGGCACAAAGGTCCACTAGTTTTGTAGACACCTGCATTTCTTCTTATTTTCAGTTGTATGATTTCTCGTTATTGCTTATGATAGGCAATACTGCTTCTCGGGAACCTCTTACAGGGTTAAAAGGCAGGCACCGAAGGGAGATATTTTCATCAGTAATGCACAGATAAGTGACATTGAAATAGCTATTGTACCTTCAGTGATATTTCATATTTGACAAGGAAAGTAAGATTAAAAAAATTACTGAACTTAGGTCAGTGTGATTGAAGGCTGCTGTGAAGTTTAGAAAAAAGGCATGTTGGAAGCGTAGCTAGAATACAAAGGTCATTATTAAAAATCCAATAGTCACCTCACTGTACGACTGGAGAATTCATTTATTTAGCTCAAGAACAGGAAATTGCTGTCATAACTCATTTACCACTGGTAAAAGCCAACATTTTACATGCCTATCTTAATAGCAGAAGAGAATGAATACATGAAAACAGCATCAGAAACTTTCAGAAGTAACTAGAGATTATCAAACATAAAACAAAGTCTCATTTTAGAAAGGGAGGAGCATTCCACCTTCTAAGAATCCAGCCCTTTCTTAGAGCCTAACTTCACAGCAGAAAAAATAAAGGATCCCGATTCCGTGGTCACTTTAACAACTATTTGCTACATTATGTAACTTCATTTTAATTGGGTAACCCATAGGTGGAAGAAATAAAAAAGATGAAAATTGGTGACCCACTTGATAGATCTACAGATCATGGTCCACAGAATCACAAGGCACATTTGGAAAAGCTGCTGCAATATTGTGAAACTGGAGTAAAAGAAGGAGCCACTCTAGTGTATGGAGGAAGACAAGTACGTAGACCAGGTAAAATACTGTTCAGCAATGTTTGGAACTTTCACACTTTAAACAAAAGCCATCATGATTGTCTCTGCTGCATTATGAGAAGTAGCAATATCATGGGAACAGTACCAGGTAAACCCAAGATACCACTTGAGAACAGGGCTTTCAAGTCTCATATTAAGAGAAGTTGTGCAACTAAAGCCTAACATATGAAATTGACTCAGAATCTGGTCTGTATAAGAATCTTTTGCTCTTTATTCCTGTTGTTTGTGAGGCATTGAGGCTTTTTTGCAACACCCTTGAACTGTCAAGAGCCATAAGTATAATTATATCCATTTGGATCACACTAACGGTAAAGCTGACTGAGGAAACTACTAGCAGATTTCACATAAGGTATTATTATCAAAAGCCTTTTTTGCTATATAGACAGTGTGTATGCTAAGTTTAGGGGGCAGGCATGAAAGCAACATTTTCTAATGGACATCTGGCCTTTATCAATAATGAAGCAGAAACATTTGCATCAGAGTTTCAAAACATAATGATTGCATCCCTAAATAAAATGAAAGTGGAGATTCATAACTATGTAGGGATTGATTCACGGACTCTGGCGCGGGTAAAACCAAAGACCTTTATTGTTTACAAGTTTGTGCTTATATAGATTCACTAGCTGTCCATGCACTCTAGTTTGTTCATGGATTGGTTAACCCCTGCTGTCCACGCGCCCTAGTTTGTTCATGGATTGGCTAACCCCTGCTGTCCACGCGCCGCAGCTAAGTTTTTAATTGGTGCTGTTAATCAAGACACATGTCTTCTAGTTTGGGTCTCACAGCTGTGCTTCAAAACATTTTTACCTTCAGCTCACTTTCTGCGCTTGCTTCATTACTTACTTTCTCAGACTATTTCCTTCAAGGCTATGTTGTTCAAGGTTGCTTGCAACACTCCCTGTGAATCCCACATAACTATATGAAATCAATGTAACAAAACTAAAGGGGAAATCTTATGGAAGGGGGTGGCATTTATATAAAATCTCGGAAGTTGATTTTACCCACTCAAACTGGAATACATTCACTCACCAAGATGTAGGTGACCAGGATCGCTTGTGTATAACAGCAGGACAGTTCTTGATTGGCAATGATGAGCTAGCTTTTGGACAGATTTTTACACCCTTCAGAAATGAACACCCTTTTCCTCAGAGTTTTCTTTACTTCAGCATTCACAAATCTTAGGAAAGTTGCTGCCCATCACATGTTTTCCCTTCTTTGGAATATACAGATCTTTATAGCTGCAGTCTTCTTGTTGGGTAACAAGAAAAACAGCAGCCTCTGCAACATGCTGTAACCGAGTCTTCTGCTGTCAGAGTGCAGGAACTTCCCCTGAGGAGTCACCTGTGCTGTGGCATGCAGACCTGCTGGCCTGACTGGGAACAGCACATGTTGTTGCTCTGATCAATACAGGGCATTCTTCTCCTTTCTGCTGTTTCTCTGGTGCTTACAGATATGCACTTCCATCCATCCTTCATTCATATCAATCTTGATATTTTCTGTTTCAAGTCTCAATGTATCTATGACCTCAAAGTACGGAAAAAGAGACAGCCTGGACAATAAAAACCATGAAGCTTTTTCACCATGGTCAAATGATGTTCTATCCTCCATTTAGGTTTCTTCATGGAACCCACTGTATTCACAGATGTTGAAGACCATATGTATATTGCCCAGGAAGAGTCCTTTGGTCCTGTGATGGTGATTTCTAAATTTAAAAATGGGTATGTTCTCCTCTGGTTACTGTTAGAAACTTTATTTTCTCTTTTTCACCCTAAGTGTAGAAACGATAGCATTAGTAGTATGATTTTGTTAAATCTTGTGAGACCAGTCTGAATCCCTAGATCCTCTTCCAGCTAAATTCTGAGAAAAATACCCTTTTTAGTAGGGGGTGTCTGGCTCCATGTCAATATAGAACTAATGCTATTAGCAGTGTGTGACAGGGTTGAATGCAACCTTAAGTGCCAGTTCTTAAATAAGACTTGGTATTCAGTGAAACATGTTTACTGAAGTTGATGTGGTAATTGCAACAGCTTGATCAAATTACAAATGTGTATTTTTTCCAGTGGAATTGCTTATTTTTCTCTGTCACAGAGACCGCAGAGCATTGTTGTGCATTGTGTAACATTGGCTCATTACTGTTGCAAATGAAAATCCCTCTGTGCATTTTGTAGACTGCCAGTTTTAATAGCTTTCATTCCAAATCAGAAGAATTATTTTACACACAGATGAGATTAAAGCCCTATGCATAAACTTCATATAACTATTTCTGCCAGGTTTCATTTTCTGCAGTTTGAAAATGCAGTTAAGAACCAGCCACATCTATAAATTATGTATGGTGATAAGGGACTATATTAAGATTTTTAAAGTTTTAAATTAATATGGATTTTTGAAGCTATATGGAGGTGAGATGCAAATATAAAATAGCACTCTGGACATGGCCTGAAAAGTTGTGTCTTGATAGAAGTCTGAATTTCAGCATTTATTCTCCATTAACTTGTAAAGCAGGCCAGAATTTTAGCAAACCGATTCATAATCTGCTGCCAAACTCTGCTTTACAAGTATTCTTGTATTGCTCTAATCTCCAAGTTGTACTGCAACTTTTCCTTTGCCATTTCTTAGTGTAGATCTTAACCATTGAAATGTAAGGTTACAAGCTTTACAAGTTTGAAGCAAGGGTATGAATTTCCATAGATCTGTCAGATTGACACACAGATTAGTCCTTAGTAAATTGTCTTTAGAAAAGCTAACTGGACAAGAGCACGGGAGAAGGCGCTTCAATGACATCGAAGGTGGAAGGTTTCTAACACTTGTTTGTTTTAACTAGTTGCAATTCAATAATTTCTTTCCCCCGTAGGGATGTCGATGGAGTGCTGCGACGGGCAAATACCACAGAATATGGCTTAGCTTCAGGAGTTTTCACAAAAGACATAAGCAAAGCTCTCTACATCAGTGAAAAGCTAGAAGCTGGAACAGTTTTTATTAACACATATAACAAAACTGATGTGGCAGCACCATTTGGCGGATTTAAGCAGTCTGGCTTTGGGAAAGATTTAGGTAAGCTGTTCTCTCCCTCCCTCCCTTCTCATCTGACAGTCCAAATCAATGAAAAAAACACCTTACCTGTGCACAGTGTTATCTAGTAAAACATGAGCTACGGATGCATTTCCTGCACCTCCTACATTTCTCCAATTACAGTAACCTAGTTCCTCTCCCATCCCTACCATACTCCTGCCTCAGTATCTCCAGCTCAGCCCTTCCTGTACATTTGCTAAATAATGCTACGGCATGCAGAATATTCCTCTCCAGCTCCTCACAGAGAAGTCAAATTACAGCTTGTCCAGAGCTGCGTACAGGCTACAAAATGCTGTCAAGCAGCAAAGGCATTGGCCAAAATCTTCTTTCCTTTCCCTCAGAAAGAATGCTAGTTTTGGTTTCTCCTCTAAACTTGTAAGAAATAACTAAGAAACTTTTTTATGCCTTAAAATGTCATCAAAATTTGCCAACAGCCACAGAGAAGGATGCATTTTAAAATATATTTTCTTTTCAAAACCAGTTTTCAAAAAAGTGAAGTCTAGTCTGTCAATGACACTTTACAAGTTTGGACAGATCAAGCCTCATGACAAAGAAAAATGAAAGAAAAAAACATTTTCAGTGACACAACAGATCTTTGCCTTTGGAATCTCTAGCAAGTATCAGACATTTCCTGAAACCAAAATGATTAATAGTATCAGGAAAATAAAGATTACCAATTTTTACACAACTTCTCTGCCTAGAAACTTTTAATGTAGGCAAACCAAAGTTCATTAAATTCAACTACAAGCCCCCAGTGGCCATCTAGAGACTGCCGCTGCTTCAGTCCCACCCAGGTGGCTGCTTGTTAAATTCCAGCTCCTTTTTCTTTCCACATCTCTTGGGTTTGGCGTCTTCTTGTCAAACCAGTTCTGTAAATCTCAATGCAAGGGTAAGTTAATTAGTTTCCATTGTTCCTTAAGGACTCAAATATTGGCTAAAGCATTTTTAATTTTTTCTTAATAGTATAGTTACAGTCTCTGACAACATTTTCTCCTTTAGCTGCTATTCTAACTAGTAAATATTGTGCTTCTACAGGTGAAGAAGCTCTTCATGAGTATCTCAGAACCAAGGCTATCACTGTGGAATATTAAAGAAACAGCTTCACTTGGAAAGTCAAGTTTCGGCAGAGTCTGAATCTTAATGACTCCATGAAACCCTTAATGCCATACCCAGGATATGCTGTCTGCAGTGCTACAACTAAAAAAAACCCCAAAAAACCCAAACAAAAAACCCAAAACCACCCATTCCATGGATAAGTTTCTATATATCAGGTCCAAATTTTAGTCTTACTGACAGATAAAAGCATTTGGAAATTAACCTGAAGTTATTTAAATTATGCAGCAGCAGCAGTTGTTAGCACAATCCCCCCTCCCAAAACCAAGGATATGGTTTAGTTTATTTTTTTAAATACAACTGAAGAATGAGTTCTCACATGCCTACTTCTTATTTGTGTGAACACAGGATTTACCTGATCATTTCAAATCCTTAGTCACTAGGCTTCTCAAAGTTGAACTAAAATACACTGATGATGCCATTTTTGCTATAAATCAGTTCAAGTTTTACAGTAGCAATTAAACATTCTGCTCTGGTGATTCTTCAGCAGTACAGAAAACCTTTGTGCCATAAGAAGTAAATCAATGCAAGAAAGTGCACTTACTATGATCTTTGTATAGTACATACAGAGTTCAACATTGGTGTTAAACTATGCATATCAAGCAAAAGTTACTGAAAATATTTTCTATCTTTTTGTTGATATGGAATGTGTGATCTGCCTGCAATTTGAAAGGCGGTTACATTAACAGATTAAAATCAATTTTTGTGTTTGTGCACGTGGACTGTTATCACTGTCTTACACAGCATGACTATTACTTTGTATTTCATACTTTGTTTTTTTTAATCTATGGGAAAACCCCTTGTAAAATGACCAAGTTCAGATGTTGGCTTTCAAACTTTCTTCAGTCTGAAGGAAAATTTCCATAGATTGAGACCTATCTAACAAACTAAGCCTACTAAAACCACTTGCTCTTCTTAGAGTGCAATTCCACCCAAGCTTAATCTGATCTGTGGGCTGCCATTAGAAGTAGCACTCCCATTCTTTGATTCCCACCCTTCACCTTCACTAAAGTATTTTGTGGTTTAATCAGTTAATCCCAGTAAATCATGGCCCCATTCTATTTTTAAGAATCCACATTGTGAAAGAAAGACCAGAATTCCTTGTTATTTCTTATCACAAATATTACAGAAACAGATATTAAAACTATAGCTTTAAGTACGGGATTCAAAATAAATTCTGTAAATAATTGCAGGTTTCAAGTCATGACATTAGTATTTGAGCAAATACAATACATAAAATTTTAGTTTAATAGTGTAGAAAATACAAAGTTCCTTTAAGAAACAAACGATGACATCCAGGAGCATGGTAGATACTTCTGAAATGCAAACCAAGCTATGAAGTAAATACAACAGCCCAAATCATTGTATTTGATCAATCTGAGGTAAGTATGAATGAGACATACCTTCACTGATTTTGGTTTCACAATTGTTTCAAGCTAACCTGAGTACATGCCAGCTGAAAATTCGCCTTTTATTTTTCTGGCAGTGACAGTTGTTAACAAAATGGAGAGGATAGAAACCTGTCAGGGAAAGTGGGAGATGGAAAGTGTAGCTTAAAGCAATTGCAACACCACAGAGGCAGACTTGACCATTTCAGTACTGAGGGTATCTGCGCTGCAGCCACAAACATTCCAGATGTGAGCTAGTGACCCACCCGTAATGAGATGGAGCTCCATAGAGGCACAGAGGGTACGCAATCCCTTGCCAAATTCTCTCGAGTCATGGCTGTCCTTACCCATGCTGGTGCATCTTGAAATGACCTCAGCCACTGCTTTAGTGTTCAACGGTTATTGTCATGAATGCAATGTAGGCATACCTCTAATGTACTTTAAGATAATGTTTAATATTGAAGACGCTGTACATAACAGGACATGGAATATAAAAAAACCAAGCTTTTTTTCCCTAGTTAACTCTTTCCTGCCCTTGAAGCAAAAACTTCTAGCACACTACAAAAATCTTTCTTCTACAAAGCAAGAGAACAAGAATTTTAACTTGAACTAGTTCAAGTGCCCCAAATTCTAGCTGCTTTCTTAGTCTAACCTAGGATGAAGTTCATTTCCGTATTGTTTGACGAATAAAACCGTACTTAATTCTTCAGAAATCCAGCTTGCCTCAGTCATGAGTGGATCCTGAATTCTCCACCATGTATAGCATTTCACATGATCCGGAGGGGTGCTACATTGGGCAACAAGCTCTTCAAAGTAATAAAACCCTATTTGTTCTGGTTTGGGTTTTTTTTTTAAAGTAAAATAAAAATGGATTTACTCATTGACTTTGCTGTCCAAAATTTCTATTTTGCCCTTTTCTCCCTTTTGTTTAGGAAACTTAATGTTGTCTATTGTCACTTCATGAGTTGTACAGTCATCTTCAGATTCTGAGTCCTCTTCTGAAGTTGGTATCTCTTCATCTGTATCAGAATCACTCAGTTCAACTACAGCCACATTCTGGAAATAAAAAACTTCAGTTAACTCATTATACATTTCTATACCACTTCTGTCATTTCAGTAAAACATAAAGCAAAAACATGAAACAGCCTACTAACATAGGAAAACCACAAGCACAATTAGAAAGACTTTTGGGTTCTCCTAGGATTATGACAAATATCATTCATGAACAGATTCTTAAATATTTAAATTGTAATTTGTTTTGCCCTATAGAAAATATAAGGCCATTTTTTATCATTATAAAAGAGATAAATGAATAGATAGCTGAACTCAGATAGTCTAAATCAGATATTTAAACTGATGAGCAGGAAGCATCAAAACTGTCATTTTCAGTAAAGAATTCAAATGAAACCATTTAGTGTAAAGGAGTCATGATATACATACAAACGTGTTTATATATTTATTAATATAGTTCATATCTTACAACCTAGTAGTTTTCATGGCACTACAACTACTGCAAAATAGCAAGTAGTTTAAACTACCAAGATATTTTTGAAGCAAAAGTGATCATATATTTCCATATGCGGGGCTATGACTTTTGAGGTCTGTTTTCCTCTCTGAAAACATCTCTTAAACTGATAAACCTCACCTCAAAAACCTCCTGTATGCTACAAAGCAAAATACAGGAATTTGAGATGCAAATAAGTTTCTTCAGTGATTTGTAAATAGTATTACACTATTAATCATGAGGTCTCCTGGCTTGTTTATTATAAAGCCAAGACACTTCTCAGACACTGTCACATGAAAAATCTTTTTAAAATCCTCTCCAAGTTGCCCGTTCCACTTCAGCACATAAAACCAAACAATTTTGATGATCCACTTTATTTTCTCACTATTTATTTGAAATTTGTCAGCATATACCAGCACTGGACAACCTATTGCATGTCAGCTGGATACAATCTACAAGAACTCTGAATCCAATAAATTATTCTGACGCTCGTACACCAACCCCCTGGCTGCCTTATTTCTGCCTTTTATCTTGTGAGTCTGCAGGCCAGAAGGCACTTGTCTGGGACAGGCACACATCACATCACCTTCATCTTAAAATTTTCTTACATGAGCATGTGGCTGCAGCACTTTGGTTAAAAACAGAAAGAAAATATTGATGTGAATGTAAATAAATAGACAAATACCAGCCATAAAGGATCACAACAACACTAAAAACTTTTCTAAAGCCCAGACCTATAGCTAGGCCTAAAAATACCTACAAAGCACAGCTGAAAGTCAGTTATTGTTCCCTATACTAAAGCTTTCTGTTATGCCTTACTATGCCTCAAACTGTCCAGTTTCTAAACCAAATTACCCATGAGATTTAAAATACGATTTGTGACTTCCTTTTGATTCAGAGCTGCTGATTCAAAAGTATGTCTTATTCTGGCCTTAAACTACTTCATCCCCAGTCATTAAACTCTGCAAATATGAAAAACAAGTAGTAAATTTTTAACCAAATAAGTGTTTTTATTACATCTACATTTTGAATTTGCAGATCGCAGACTAAAATGGTAAAGACTTAGCCTTATCTATCAAATTCTCTCATTCTAAGATCAGAGAATTATTTTAATCACATCTAAATTTACTTTATAAAATAAAAAATATAGTAAGTATTTACCATTTCTATAACTTTTTCCGTTGCGCTGTCTAGATTTTCAATATCAAACTGATGAGCTGGTGCTGTTACCATTTTTCTTCTTAGCTCATCATTTGCGTGGGCCATCTGTGGTAAAAAGCTCTGTACTCGGTCCAAAACTGAAAAAGAAATAATTATCACATGTATACAAACAGATGCACATTAATTTATACATTCCTACCTCAGAAATCTAAGCATTTAAACAGACTCCATTTCAACTCTAATTTCCAGCTGTCTACCATATTTAAGATGTTTTAATAGGAAGATTTATAATAGTATTCAATTTCCCAAGACATAAACAGTAAAAATATATTGAATCTATAGGTCAGCATGCCGTGCAGCAAGACATCACTTCAACAATTCCATTCAGATTCTTAAAACAAAATGTGACTACTTTACAGAAAACTTGCTTGTAAATTCCATGGTTTTAAATACACATTGAGTGCCATCCAGAGAAACTTCCACATCAGCATTATCTCCAACAGAAATATAATTACGTCCTCCTTTCTTTCCTATTAAAGTATAGACTGAAGGTCTCAAAAAAGATGGAAAAATTAGCTGTAGCACAGATGCCACAGATGTCATGCTACACTAAAGAAAGTTCAATATAATTATCAAAAGGGGCTCTGAAATTAAGATGGTGGGAGAGATGGATGCTCTAGGATGAGGTATAAAGCATTTATCCTCTACAAAAATATCCCTCTAAGCTCAGTGGGGCTTCCCAACAATTTTTAGATAATCAGTGTCAATAGGAGAATCACACCCACTTCCCTTCCATGGAGGAAAGGAATATCTTCACCTGCATCCAGAGTTTCTTCAAATAATCTTTGCTCCCAACATGCAGATGAGCCAATTACTACTCTTCTTTCTCCATGAAGTAAGAGGTACTATTCCAAGTGAGCTCCACAGAACTCTAACAGGTATAATCTACCTTTGAAACACTGTCATCTCTGTAGAGACTTTTATCCAAGAAAGAACTCGATATAATGAATTGTTTTTTCTATTACTTTTTAAACCTCAGCTCAAACACAAAATAAAAATACAGTAATTTGTCAGGAGTCCATTTTAAATTAAATGCTTTTATACACCGAATATTTTATACTGAGAAATTACTTCTGAAAAGAGCTAAGAAGTCCAGATCAGCAAAAAAGCAACAACTCTCTACTGGAAAAGAACAATCTGAGACTAAAGAACTCTGGTATATTTTCATGGAGAGAAAAAACTCCTGAAGACACATTGTTTTCAAAGAGTAACAATTATTACACTGTGTCCTTTTACGCACAGAGTTACCCTGAAGAGAACGTTATCAATCTATATGTAGCTCTGACTAAGAAAAAAGGAACATAGCTTAACTAAAGAAAAAAAGTTTTCTTAATGCATTCAAATTAATTTGTTATGAATAAATGGTTATATGACTCCACTTAATAATTTTGCCAGTGCATTTACTAAAAATAAGTCCTGAAAGTGATCTGCATAACTTGCATCAATTTGAAAGTAGCTGATGAAATGAAACCAAAGGTACAACCTGGCAAATTCACTATATGCAGACAGCGGGAGTATTTCTGCAAGGAGAACTAAGTCCCTAAATCTTACAGCTGTAACACTCCGCTTCGCAAAATCTAGTTTTGCAGAAGCAGCAGTTACGTGATTATCCTGTGGGATGTGCAACTGCAACGGAGGACCTAGCACCGGTAGAAACAGAACACAAGAGTTTCTCCCTTTACTAGTGCAAGGAAAGCACTGAAGCAAAAGTTATGTCAAAGATGTCACCTACTACGTGCCGCTGTTCCAATAACAAAGTCCTACTTACCATTACTCCTTGGCATCCTAACTGTCTGTAAAGTTGTGGCCTTCTTGCTGCTACATTTTGAACTAATCAACAAAGTTTCTTCCAGCCCTGGAAACAAACAAGCATTTGAATGTTTACCTGTGCCAACCCCAAATGTCATGTTTTAACTGTGAGCCTCTCTTCTTGCTGCTACTTTTCCACCTTTCTACAAGAAGACCAAACATGAGGATTCAACTCTGCCTCCAAGAATTCCACTCTGCTTTCCTGCAAATACTGTTTCTTGATGTTTGTTTGGGGTAGCCATCTCTGTATGTAAAACTTGCTACCACAAAAGGCAGTGAAAAGCAGGCGGATCAGCAGGTTCAGCATGGAATTAGACATATCCAGTGCAGCAAAGACATAATCTGATACTAAAGGGACTGAGCAGGAACGTACCCCCTAGCACCCCAACCCCTACCATTGCAGATACTGGGCAATTACAAGAACGGGGAGCACACAGTGCTTTAACTAACAAGTGCTCTGTAATCATCATCTGCTGCTGCAGTCCTTGGAAGAAAGAATACTGGGCTATATGGATCACTGGTCTGACCCTGCAGATCACTTCTTACAGGCAGCCACGGTTTTTAAAGTCTTTGTCAAAGATTTATTTAGTGACAGTCACCAACGCATAGAGAAACTACCTGTAATACCCCACAGCAAAACATAGGGAGGTAACAGCTAACACGTGCTAGTTACACTGATTTAAATCCATGCCCTCCTGTGTGTGACTGTGCTGGTGATCAGTGAAAGCAAACTGCGGCGCTAATGACCTAAACTAACAATTTGCAAGTTTAGGCGTAACATCCAAAAGACACAGGAAAACTCTGCATTAATTACACCGCCAACAGAGCCATCAGCTCTTTATCATTAACTAAAGCAAAGCTTTACTTCTTGTTAACATTTTTTTTATCTTCATAGAAACATCGTTACGACTGTCGATATTAATTTAACGTGGGGTTTCCCCCTGTATTTACTTCGTATTATGGTAGCGGTGCCCGGGAGAACACTAGTTCTTAAAACCACGCAAGATGTAGCAACAAGCGGAGTGCTAGCAGCGGGGTGGCCTGAAAAGCCCCCTCCCTCGGGCT